CTCTTCAGAAAACTACAGGCCTTCCATGGATATTAACCAAACATGGTGTAACAAGTTTCAGTCAGACTATGCACATCCCCTCGTGTTAAGGCTGGACAATGTATGAGCAGTAGAGTCCCAAAATCCAACAAAAAATCAAAGACAGCCCCTGCTTGCACTGTTATGAGTCCCACAAGAAGACCAAGCAATATAGATGTAACATATAGGCAGAGGACCTGGATCAGTCTCAAGCAAGGTCCTTGGTTGTTGGTTCAGTCTCTGTGAGCTCCTATGAACCCAGGTTAGTTTATTTTGTGGGATGTCTTATGGTGTCCCTAATGCATCTTACTCTCCCTGATCCTCTGTCACACTTAGATGCGTCTCTTTATTTAATCTTGACACCACATTCTTCTCTGATAGACATTTGTCTCTTCATTTATTTGCATGGTGACTTTTAACACTCCCATTACTGTGAGCGTGGATGGTTTGTACATGTCTGGTCTCCTTGGTTCCTAGAGCTTGATTATTAGGTTGAAGCTCCATGGGTGTCAGCTATGAAAGTTGGAAGACTAAGTGTGAACACACTGCCCAGTAGGAATATAAAGACATGGAATTGTGCCTAGAGCAAGCCAGGGAGAGGGAAGAGGGTGACTGCTTCTTAAGCTGCTGCTGGCCTGTTGGAGAAATTCTTTTTTCCAAATTTGTTCAGTGGCTACTTAGAATCCTGGGTTCTATTTAATTTGCATCAGGGATTTGATGTGTTATATTGGAGCACACAGATCACAGTGTGGTAAGAATGGGTGCAGGAGGTATAGCAGGCCCAGTTACTACTTGCTACTGCAAGTAAGTTTATGACCCTATCTATTACCTATCTATGTCATTCTTATTGTCCTATAGGCTAATCAGACAAAATTACATACTGTAAAACTTTCCCTTTATACTGAAAAATATCTATAAAATTTAGGAATTACCATTATCTGTGGGAGTCTCTGAACACACTCTCTCCTTTATCTCTACCCCATCCCCTTATGTTGTTCATGGTTTCTGTTTTTCCTACTTTCCCCCTTTCTGCTATCTTTCCCAATGAAATGTCTTTCCATATTTTTAAGGAAAGAATCTCTCTCTCTGTCTCTCGCTCTTCCTCTCTCTCCCCTTCCTTCTTTCCCACTGTGATGATATCCAGTCTCTCTTAATTGCTCCCCCACTTCAAAGTCTGATCATTCCCTACTCACACTCTTATGAATCCAAGTCTTATGATTCTAATTATGCTCAATCTAAAGAGTAATTTGCTTCAGTTTCCTTATACAATAAGGAAACTACAAGACTTTTTTGGTTTGTTTGTTTGTTTGGTGGGTTTTTTTTTTTGTGATGACACTGTTAGCACTTGTTTCTTGCAGTTATAAGAGGTGAAGTCCCTGGAACTGCCTGTTTGACTATAAAATCTCTCTACTTTTATCTGGGTAGAGAGATACCTCTATGTTATATCCCCTCTTCTCATTGAGCAGGTGAATTTGGACTGCAAACTTGGGCTGTTCAGCTAAGCAACTATAAGTTGAGAGCTTGCATTGTGGATTCCTTTTGAGAATAAAGTGACTGGAGCAAGCCGTAGGCCTAATGTGTTTCTACTTGCACTCACAAATAAATATGACAATGAGGGCAACCAATATAGCTAGAAGACCTAGAATCTAGTGGGGTTTCTGGTAGATAGCATAAAGATCATCAGGCCATAAAATACATGTGACATCTCCCCTAAGGATAGGTAATGGTCTAGGGATGGGAAGAGTCTGGGTTAATCATTATGGAGAATTTGGATGATGTCTGCCTCTATAGCAAAAGACAGGTAAGGTCTCCATCCACAGATAATAGAAAGATCACCAGGTTGTTAACAAAATCTACTGGCAGCTCTCTGTATGGAGTTCATATATATGACTTGTATGTCTTACATTGCAGAGACAACTATGAGTGATTAACATTCCTGGTTCTTTTAGTGCTTCTCTGTGAATGGAAGCACCTCTGTGTGCCCAACAGATACTGAAAATAGAGAGGAAATCTGCACAGTTAGCATTGAAATAAAGCACATTTAACTTAGTCTTGGTATTACAATGGAAAAATCTAAATTACTGTCTACTGATTCTGGTGTGCAAGGGTTGATAATTGAGGATGAGACCCACAAAGGTAGAATGAAGTGTATTCTATGTTAGTAGTAGCTATTTTTCTGTTCTTTCCTTTGTTAAAATTTATTTTTCTTATTTTACATATCAATCCCAGTTCCCTCTCCCTCCCTCCTCCTTGTTCACCCTTCTGTGTCCCCTGACCACATTGCCCTCCTGTCTCCCCCTATTCCACATGTAGGGTGATGCCTTCCAGGAGGGGTCATCTAAATCTGTCAAGTCACTTTGAGTAGGGACTTGACCCTCCCTCCTGCCTCTAGATTAAGGGAGTATCCCTCCATGGGGAATGTGCTCCCAAAGTCCTTTTGTAAACCAGGGATACACCCTGGTTCCACTGTCAGAGGTCCCTTAGACTGTCCAGGCTTCTAGCTGAAACCCATGTTCATGGGGTCTGAGTCAGTCTAATGCCGGATCCCCAGCTATCAGTCTGGGGGCCCATTAGCTCCTCCTTGTTCAGGACAGCTGTCTCTGTGGGTTTCTGTAGCCTGGTCTTGTCCTCCCTCTCTGCATCTGGATTCCAGTTTGGCTCAGTATTTAGTTATGGGTGTCTGCTTCTGTTTCCATCAGCTACTAGATGAGGGCTCTATGATGGCATATAAGTTAGTTATCAATCTCATTATCAGGGAAGGGCATTTATGGTAGCCTTTCCACTGTTGGTCAAATTGTTAGTTGGGGTCAGTCTCATAGGTCTCTGGACATTTCTCTAGAGTCAGTTTTCTCTTCAAACCTATAATGGCTCCCTCTTTTATGCTCTCTCTCTCTCTCTCATCTATTCTTCCCCTGACTCAATCTTCTTAGTCCCATGTGCTTTCATCACCTCCCCTTCAGTAGAAGCCATTCTTAAAAATTGGATAAACAAGTAAAATAATGATTAACTTTCCTAGATTATGAACAAATGCCATGGTATGTATCTATAACCATTAAGAGTCTATAATCATTAACATTGTCAGTATCAATCAGTATTGCTGTAAAGTACTAACTATTGGGCCTAAATAATAGCAATAGTTATGAATGAAGATTTGAATTTTCAGTAACTTTTATATTATTTGTGGATGCAAAGAAAATGTGTCAGAACTTATCTCAATTGAAAATACCCATTATCATAACCTAAGCATCATTCCTCCCCCAACTGCTACCCATACCTGGTTTTGTAATGGTAATTTGATATGATGAAGTAAGAGATGGTATCAATATTTTATCATCAAAAGCAATATCCTCTAATTTGAATTTTTAGAACAAGGTAAAAAGGAAAAAGTCAGTAGATATATCTGGGTGAAAATACGTATTCATTTATAAAGTTTTGGAAAGACAATATACAAGAATATGGAAGATTGGTATCTTAGGGATAATGATTTATTCTTTATTATCTAGTCATAGTCCTTGATGGAAAAGGTCTCCTTCTATTTTGCCTTGCTTATCAAATCCTCAAATATTTTAAAGAACTTCATACAGTTCTCATAGTAACCATACCTACATCATACAATGGAACAGAAGATTTGAATTTAGGAAATTTACTAGAAATGATCCTGAGATAAACATCTGTGTGAGAACAGACAAAGCTACATGATACACATGGAGTTTATCTTTGATAGTCACTGCAATTAAAACTGTGCTTAGGATGACCTCTAGCTTGGGGTGGCCCAGTGATTTTGTTTTGGAATCTGGCATTTATTCATTACATTGACAGGCCAATGAAGTGAAGTCATTCCTGGCAAAGCTACTATGGCTTTTAGCTAAATTCAAGAACAAAAAAACATGGGGGAAGGGACTCTAATGAAAGAGAAAAGTTGTAGAGGTAGTAGATTAGTTAGTGTTTGTCACTGAAATTCAGCACTAAAATAGCACATAGTACCATTATTTTAAAATTTGCCAGCCCTAGGAGAAGCACTGGAAGAAGATGAAAACAGGCTTTTATTAGATTTGATATTTTTTTTTCTCCAAGGAACATTTCTGTAGCATGTTTCTGGATAATCAAAATCTTGTAGAAGTCTTGATCCCTCAATTTGTAGAAAAACACAAAATTAGTCACAATAAGCTAGTATACTTTAGCATTCAACATATTGGAGACTTTTACCATTAAGGATTTTGCATGTGCAGGTATTATAATATCACACAGGTATGCATACTGATGACAGTTCTCTTTCCTAGTCTTTGAACAATGAGAAATTCACAGAGCAAAACAACAACAAAATTGTTTGCCCTCTATACAATAAAATTATAAATAATGTAAATAACACATGAAGAAAGAAGCAAAGAAGGCACAATCAAAGTATTTATGAAGTAAAGGGGACTATGACTTATATTAACAAAATGATATAGGTTAATTGCTATATGTGGTAAGTTCTTTTAATAAAAATTAAATGAATAATGATATCCTGAGTAAACTCTGAGATTTAATGGTCATGTGGTATTTCTCTAATATTGTAATTGGGAACATTTACTCAGTGGAAGCTATGTGCAATTTAAAATATAAATAACAGTCCCCAAGTAATTACAAATATCACACAAGACTAAATATCTCCCCTTTGCTCAAATATTTATAAAGTGCTAAGCATTGACTCATTGATGGCAAATGTGTGAGAATTATGTCTATGTCTAGAAGCTACATTGATCTAGGGATACATTTTCAAGTAATACCTGAAATGAGAATGGTAGAGAGAGAGAGAGAGAGAGAGAGAGAGAGAGAGCAAACTAATAATAACTAAAGAAAAACATCATGAAGTTGAGAGAAAGGGAGCATTGGTAGAGTTGGAAGAAGCCGCGTGGGAGATGAAGTGATGTATTTATAATATTTACATATGTGATTTTCAAGAAAAATTAAATTAAAAAATTTGACAGCATTTTCAGGTAAGCAGTTTGGAACACTTTATTGTTTTGATCATCATTGTTACAGTTTTGAAGGATGAGTCTTAGAAGACACTCGTTGTTTTAATTTTGGAAAGTGTTCACAGTTATCCACATCTGGGAGCTTTGTGGTTGTTTTAGCATAACAGGGAACATATTTTCTGACAACACTCTTAGATGGTGTCATGGCTATATTGCAAAGGGAGACACTCTTATTATGCTCCTGCTGAGATCTATGGCTTATATCAGCTGACAGATAATACTTCTCAAGATTGAGTATATGCTCACTCGCTCTTTGTACATTATCAGGGAGTCCAGTCAAGGTTATATTAGGATTATAGGACCCTTTTGGAGGTAAACGTATATCTACTTGGTATTGGTCCATGATTTTATGGATGGTTTTTCCACGGAATCCGATAACATTGCCACGAACCTGGTAGTTTAGTGGGATTTCTTTAGAAACTGTTTTTTCGATCTTATGTAACATTCTCATTATTGCATCTCTAGCAGCTAGAGTGTTCTCTTTATAGCCCGTAATAGTGATTTGGTCCTGCATCTCATGGCTTCCTTTCTTTGGAAAACGGACAGTAACATCATGCTCTGTGCAAATCTGAGCAATAAGTAAGCCCTTATGACCAGTGATTTTAGAACGATATTTGGGATCTAGATTGAATATTAGCTTAAAATTTCTTAGTGTCCGATCTTCTATTTCCATTTGTAAAGCCTTGACTCGCTTTTGTAATCTCATCTTGGCTTGTTCCACATTTGCTGCAAGGCCCATAATAGATATGATATCGGAATTTCTTCCAGGTTGTAATAACTGGATATGAACTTCAAATTCCTTTACTAGCTTACGTAAACCACATCCTTTGTGCCCAATGATGTAAGGATGTAGGTGAAAGGGCACATGGACTTCAGCAGTAACAGGAATTAGAGAAGCAAGAGCTTCAGTAGCAGCCTTGCAATTTTCCACTTGGCCTGAGATAAATATGGTGTCACTTTTCCTTGAAGAATTAGAAGCAAGATCTTTAGGGTTCCTTCTCCACTTTTCTTTTCCCTTTTCTTGCATTCCTAGATCCATATTTAGGAATGGCTTGTCTATGTCAGGAAATTTGATTTGAACTTTATAATCCCTAGCAATTTGTTGAATCCGTGAACATATTGGTCCCATAATAAAAGGCTGGAACTTCTGAGGAATAACATACCGTGTTGTAACTTGGGAGCCCAAAGGCTCAAAAATGTCTCGTATGTGTTTCTTTGCTGCCTCAACGCAAGCTTTTGCCCCTCTTATTGTGATTTTTGTATTCTGTTTCCCTGCATAAGAGAATGAAATAACCACACCACCATACTCCTCTGTCATTTCTCTTAAAAGCTGACCCCTTCGCATGACAAAATAATGGTGAAATTTCCGATTTATTAGTATGTAATCCTCTACCACATTCTCTAAGTCTTTCATTAAAACCTCCAGTCGTTTTTGCACTTCTTTAACAGCCTCTTCAGTTCCTGTGATTGTTATGAATTCTTGATCCTTGTTCTTAAGGTTAGGGAAAATAACACATGTTCCAGTCTCCTCACAGAGTTTGGAAATATTGCCTCCATTTTTATTCACAAGGAATTGATGAAATTGTGATTTGACATGGACAGTCCCTGAGTAACACTTGGCTTGTTCTTCTTCTGCAAGTTTCAGAAGCTTTGTTTTTGTCTTTTCAACACTTTCAACAGGGCCCATGATAATGATTTTATGCAGTCCTGACTTGTTTCTTGGGAAATGCAGATGAACCTTCCCACATTCTTCTATGATTGAATTTAGCAAACATTCTTTGGGATTAGTCAGATATTTATATAGATTAGGAGGAACAGAAATCTCCTCTTCTGAAGTATCTGCTATCTCTTGCTGAATTGAAAGAATCCAGTTACGTGCAATTTCACAATTTTCTGGATATCCAGTAATGATAAACTCTTCTGAGTTGCAGTTTTCTGGTGGAAAACTAATCTTGGTGTTCGTTGTTTCCGAGATTTTTTTTATGTTTGAGCCTCCTTTACCAATTATCCTTTTGTGTAGCCTTTTAAAGATAGTAATACTTACAGAATAGTTATTTTCTTTAATATCTGTCAACATATTCTCCAAATACTGTGCACATTTTTCTGACTCATATTTTGGCCCTATCAGTTGGACAACATCACTTTTCTCTGCAGGATGTGGAAAATTGAGGATAACATCAGGGAATTTCTTACAGATTTCACGGACCCTTTCGCCTTTTTGCCCAATAAGTATGTGATGAAATTGGTGTTTTATGATTATGTCCTGACTGTGCTCTTCTTCCAAATTATTAGCCAGCTCAAGGAGTTCTTTTTTGGCTTGGTGGACACCCAGAGATTCTCCCTCAATGCGGATCGAGTGATTGGATTCATTTTCAGGAAACATTGAGATAGAGACTTGGTTCTTCTCAGTAATCCTATTTAGGATCTCCCCATTATTCCCTGTCAGGTACTTGTGAAACTTGATGTTACTGTTTATCTCAGTACATTCCATTCTACTAATTAGGTCATTGACAATTATGTCAATTTTTTCTTGAGCATAATTTACATCATCTATTGGTCCTTTCAGAATAATTTTATCTTCAGCTGTAAAATGTATATTTACCTTTGGTACACTATTTGTTATCTCAGCTATATTCTCACCTTTCGTACCAATAATAAACCTGTGTAGCCAAGAAGGGGCAGAGATGGAATAAACAACATAATCATCATCAATAGAATCGACTTCATTAATTACCTCCCCTGAACTGTCAGGCTCGCTATGTTGTGTCATAGAATCTGATACGCTTTCTGAGGGTGAATGTTCTGTTGAATCTCCAGTTGTTTCTAGAATCTCTTCCAGAAAATTTCTTTTGAGACCTATGGTACAATTGTTTTGAAACTTCATCATCACATCCTCAGTTATGGTGTTTGTCTTCTCAGTCATCTCCTTTTCACAACAATTTGTCTGATCTACATATAATTTTCTTTCATTAACATCTATATTGTTCTCATTGGTGCTAGACAGTGGAAAGGGGATATGTCCCTCTGTTTCTTGGGAAACATCACTTGCTTCAGGGGATGGCACAGCAGTCAAGGGATTAAATATTCTCTCCATTTCTAATGTCTGGATATCATCCTTGCTACTTTTGGCAGATGTAGGTTGGCTTCCATCTGAAGATTTCAATTCTGCCTGAATTGCATCAACACTATTCACATAGTTGCTCTGATTGTGTGGACTTATGATCTGAGTATTTATTTCAGCTTTTTGTTCCAAATCTTGTGCTTTTTCTCCAGTCTGGTCTATAACAAAGCAATGCTCTTGTTTGGAAATGATATTTAAAGTTAAATCTTGTTCTTGACACCATTCAAAAATTCCATTCTCAGCTTTTATGACAGATTCTGGGTTGCCAAACACTGTTATATAGAGACCTTTGTCCTTGACAAAAGATGATTCTAAGTTGACACCATTGTTTTCTGTGATACATGCATAAAATTTTGCTAATGTTCCTTCACTGAATTGAATCAAATAATTTTCTTCCTCTAGTAGCACATGAAAAACTTGAATGAGGGTTGGAACTTCTTCAGCCTGAGGAACATTGGTGCTTGATGGTTCTGCAGTTTCTTCAGGGTTTTCCAGACAGTCTTTTTTCTTCAGGTGTTCAGTGACTGTGTCTTCATGTGTGGACATATCAACCACATCATCTGAACTGATATCATTATTTTGTTTTTGAATATAACTATTTCGGTGTGTACTAGAATTTGTTTCAGAATTCATTGCTGATTTTTGAGTTGATTCAACCCAGATGTATTGTGGATAAAATGTCAACAGCAAAAACACAAATACTTCCTGTAGCTGCCTTCTTGCATATTACTGTGTACGGGGAAAAACAGTTAAAGGATGTCATTTCTTTCTAGATGAATTTGTAAACTCAAGATTATACAAATTAAATGACACAATTTTATTTGACAAAAATTTCAAAGTTCATCTATTAATCTATTCTTTTCTATTCTATGTGCTTAGGAAAGGCTTAGATTATAAGGATTATTGGCAACAGCCACTACTGTTTTCCAAAGAAAAGACTCCATTATTTTTATTGGCCATAAATAACTTTTATTTTGCCAACTCAGCATCATTACTTTTTACCATTACCATAAACAACACAGCTGAGTACCTGTAATTCTTTGAGAAAAACAAATCACTAGTGTCTCTAAGAGGATGTTATATTTTTTAGTATTCCTATTTTTCTTTAAAAGTTTTCATTGAGCAATAGCTTAAAATTTCACAAATTTCATGTATACAATGGAATGGATTTTTTTTGTTCTTGTTTTCTGTAAACTTAGATTTGAGAGTTCTGTGCAATTCAGTTTTACCAGAATTCTTCAACCAACATGTATCCCTGAAGTTCACATGTGGACAATTCCCATTCCCACCATCATCACACTCAGGCAAAGAAAATCATATTTTTAATCTGTACACATGCCTGATGTGTAAATTCTGTAAAAATAGTATAGCCTGCATGTGCAGTTAAACTTTAATTTCCTCTTGACATTCATCTATGTTAAAGCATAAGGCAATATATCCCTTCTAATTCTGAATCAGTCGACTTCTAATTAAATTAATTATAAAGTCTGTTCTGGCTTAATTCCTTTCCTAGGACTACTTGCTCTAATAGAATTTTACATATTACCAGGATTTGCTGCCTGTTGTGTCAAACTCAGGAATTATTTTTCTCACTATAATCTTTCCTGTATAATTTAATATACACTCTTAACTTTGAATACCACTGATTTTTATCAAACGAATAGTCATATCCCTGAGAATGCTTATGTATAGAAGCTATTAAGTATCACCAAAGTACTTTGAAAATTCATTCAATCGTTTTCTAATTATGGCCACATGTTTTTTGACCCTGTGCTTTTCTGGTTATAGAATTTTATTTATTAAGAAATTTCACACACAAAAAAACTTTATTTTCATGAAAATGCCAAAAAATGTCACATAGCTAGGTTAATAAGCTCCTTCTCAATTTTATACATTTAGAAGAGCTCTTCTGAAGTCATAGAGTTTTGTTTTACCTTTTACATTTTCATTGTCAATTACCTTTTTATGCTTTTATCCAGCCCCAAAAGGTATCCTTTAAAAAACTGTGCCAAAGTTAAAAGTAAAAAGCAGTTACCTTTATGAGCATTTCATCCTTCCTTACCACCTAATATTATCTTTATTTTATGCTTTGTATATGTTCTACTATACCCACCCATATTTGTTCACCTATACATATGTGTACATTATAGGCTAAGCACCTCATATAAGGGAAAACATGCACTTATGATGTTGGAAACTAGGTGAGCTTGTTTAATATTATATGTTCTAAGTCCATGTATTTTTCTTCAAATTTCATGAAAAGAATACTCCAAATGTTTGGCTTTCCTTACAAGATGATATCTTACAATGGTGACCATTTCCCCATTTTTAAAGGAGTAACTGTACTTTAATTTGGATATCTAAAGGGCTACCAAGTATACAGAGATAATCGTATTCTAATACTGTGTCTGAGATCATGGGTGGACAGCCATTAAATCTTTTGTCTAAAGTAGAATTGGAAAATGCTGATACTGATAAATTTTAAATGCTTGACATGTTCTAGCCTACCTTTTCTTCTAGTCCAGTTTATAGGCTTCTGCTTGATGGTAAATCTCTGAGAGCACGGACGTAGCTCACAGGGCTCCAAAATAGTTAGAGATGAAAACTTCATGGAACTGGTGACTGGCCTCAATGTGAATGGCAAAGCTGGAAAGAAAAACATGAATCTTCCAATTAGCTGAAATATATAATGACAGAGCATTTTAAATGCATTGGTGTCATCAACCAATGTACATATTTTAAGGATATCTTGATTTCAAAATGAATGTGAGAAGATGGATGTTTCAAGGAGAGGTTTAATTTTATTTCCACAGAAATGAGAGTCTATGGATTCATTCTAGTTTGATATTGATCAGGTTTGGATGGGGAAGACTCCTCTGAAAATCCTGGCTGCAAACATTAAAAAATAATAAACCAAGAAGAACACATGAAATGTATATTTTCACTACTCCAACATAAAACAAAAAATATCATCTTTAACTAAATTGTACATACCATATGTTCTATACTTCTAATGTATGTTACCTTTAAAGTTTGTGTATTTTCAGAACAAGGAAATCAGACACAAATGAAAATGGATGGCCCAGGTGGCACAACATCTCATAATACCTCTATAATAGTTTGTGAGTTTTGTATCCAGAACAGCTTCAAAGCTGTGGCCTGAGATGATCTAGCCTCAGAGACTAACCCAGCCAATAATTAACCATTGTCATGAATTTTCTCAAGGTTCCAACAAAGACACCAGTACCACCAGACAACAAGAATCAGTCTAGAGACAACAGTGCCCACATTTCAAAAGATGGGGTTTGGATATTTGTTATTATTTAAGTGGGGTTAGTTATAAGTTGTTATTGATCCTTGTCAGAAAAAAAAGCTAGACAAATTTAAATTCAAAGATCTCATTTGAAAAGAAACATGGGGGATATTTGAAAATAAAAAGGGGGATATAAAAATGATAGGATAAATAGGTAGATTATTGAATATACTTTTAAACTAAAAAGGCAACTACTACTCTTAAATATTTTACATTGACATGGATTTTAGTTTATTGATACAAATTTAAAGTTAATTTTGCTATGCTGTTTGTGTGTTTCTACTCTTTTGGGGTGTTATGTTTATACAGCTTATTTAAAATCATATAATTGAGAAATATAGATTAATATTAGTCATCTATAACTGCCAAACATAATCACATTAGATATGTTTTCAAGGTCACAAACAGATATATTTAGATAGATAATTTGTCTATAAACACAGAATATGATATTCAAACTTTTTTTTTAACAACATAAGGCTTTTCTTAACAGTGAATCATATCTACTTCTAGCAGCAGCAAGTTACTTCAAAAGAATCTCTATATATAGTTTATTTTCTTTATTGCAAAAGCTAGCCATTTCACCAACAAAACTGCCCTTGTCTCAATTGATGACAGCATGTTGTATAAACTGAGTCAGGAGGAAGCAAATGAAAACAAACAACAACAAAAACTGCCAAACTTTGCAAGACAAAGTATGGAAGTCCATCAAAATTCCCCACTTCTCAGAAATGTCTGTAAGATATACTAGGTCTCTAGGCCTGTAGGCCAAAATTTGATGCCTCAATGTTACAGAAGAACTCTGAATGACTCTTCTAGGAGCCAGATGGCCCTGTGGCTAGTTAACATTTCACATTTCTGGGGTCTTTGAATGAACTGAAGACTAAATAATTAAATTTTCTTTAGTTATGATAAAAAGTAAATTAGATATAAAACTTTAGACTCACAAAGATAGGAAAGAAATTAGAGTATTTACTCTAAATTTACCAAATACAATTTGACTGGATATTGTAACTATAATTATTACTTGAGAGCTGTTTCTGTTATATAGTTATATAGTTTTCTATGTTAAAGATAAACCTTCTTTTTAATGAGACAAAAAGTGATGTGCAACAATCATTGCCAATAGCTTGGCAAGGGTATAGTTGGGACTGCAAGGCATAGAGAACCATTGAAAGAAGGGCAGAATCTCTAGGGAGATGAGCCAGGCAAGAAAGAAGCAAAACAAGAAGAAGTTCATGTATAAGGTAAAAAGAACCTCAGGGCAGCACATATCAAGGTTTCAAATTTCCTTTGGTTGTTTTGTAAGTATATACTTAAAGGTGCGTCTCAGCAGGGTAAAGACATCTCTGTCCAATCTATATCTAGCTCTCCTTTGAAACCAAATATATAGCTTTTGTAAGACTAGAAGATGTGAGTCTACTCCAGATCATTTACATACACATGCTACCTACTTTTTCTACCTTGTGAAATGCTAATATATATAAAACTGTCATGGACTTTTTTCATAATTTTTTTATTCTTATTTTACATATCGATCCCAGTTCACTCTTCCTCCCTCCCTCTTTCCGTCTCTCCCAGCCTCTCATGCCCCAACAACCCTTCCTTCACCTCCCTCCCACAATCCACATGTAGGGTGATGCCCTCCAGGAGGTGTCATCTAAATCTGTCAAGTCATTGAAGTAGGGACTTTGCCTTCTCTCCTCTCTCTAGGTTAAGGGAGTAGTCCTCCATGGGGTTTGTGCTCCCAAAGTCTTTTATGCACCAGGGACCTGTCCAAGGTTCCTTAGACGGCTCAGTCCTTCTAGCTCTGACCCATGTTCAGAGGGTCGGAGTCAGTCCCATACTGGATTCCCAGCTGTCAGTGTGTGGGCCCATTACTCCTTCTTTTTCAGGTCAGCTGCCTATAGGTTTCTGCACCATGGTCTTATCCTCCCTCTCTGCATCTGGATTCCAGTTTGACTCAGTGTTTAGTTGTGGGTGTTTGCTTCTGTTTCCATCAGCTACAAGATGAGGGCTCCATGACTGTGGATAAGTTAGTCATCGATCACATTACCAGGGAAGGGCATTTATGGTAGCCTTTCTACTGTTGCTCTAATTGTTAGTTGGGGTCAGTATTGTAGGTCTCTGTACATTTCTTTAGGTTCAGTTTTCTCTTCAAACCTATAATGGCTCTCTCTTTCATGCTCTCTCCCCCCTCTCTCTCTGTCCTCCTCTCTCTCTGTCTGTCTCTCTTCTCTTGTCTATTCCTCCCCTGACTCAATCTTCCTAGTCCCACGTGCTTTCCATTCCTCCCCTTCTCTTCTTCTAGTTCCCTCTCCACTCACTGAGTCTACCACTCCCCATATTCTCTGGAGACCTTGTCCCTTTCTCCTTCTGTGAGGGACCTTATATGAATATCTGAGACTCCTCCTTGTATCCTAGTTTCTCTGGCGGTGTGAATTATAGGCTGGTGATCCTTTGCTCTATGTCTAAAATCCATATATGAGTGAGTACTTACCATGTTTCTCTTTTTGTTATTGGATTACCTCATTCAGGATGGTTTCCTCAAGTTCCATCCGTTTGCCTGTGAATTTCACGATTCCATTGTTTTTCTTCCCCCATAGTAGTATTCCATTGTGTAAATGTGACACATCTTCTTTATCCATTCTTCAGTTGACGAACATCTAGGTTCTTGCTTCCAGGTTCTTGCTATTACAAATAATGCTGCTATGAACATAGTTGAGCATGTGTCATTGTTCAATGAATATGGATTATTTGGGTATATGCCTAACAGTGGGATTGCCGTGTCCTGTGGTAGACCGATCCCCATTTTCCTGAGGAACTATCATACTGATGTCCAAAATGTCTGTATGAGTTTTCACTCCCACCAGCAGCAGAGGAGTGTTGTTCTTTCTCCATATCCTCTCCAGCATAAGTTGTTATTGGTGTTTCTAATTTTAGCCATTCTTCCAGGAGTAAGATGGTATCTCAAAGTTGTTTTGATTTGCATTTCCCTGATAGCTAAGGATGTTGAGCACTTTCTTACGTGACTTTCAGCCTTTTTGATTTCCTCTATTGAGAGTTCTCTATTCAGTTCTGTACCCCATTTTTTAATAGGGCTATTTGGTGTTTTGTTGATTAGTTTCTTGAGTCATGTCCTTTTTAAAGTAAAATATCAAGTATGCCTCAGAGAATCTGGGGAGTTGTAAGACTTGAATATACTTCTCACTGAATAAAAGGACTGCAGATAAGTACACCCTATGTTTCCCCATCTATCTATTCCTGAAGATGGGATCTCTTTCCTGGTTTTTGGGCTCCCCCTCCAAACTACTAGCATTAATGAGACTGAAAATTCCAAATTAAAATTTTTCTGAAAGTTCCTAAATTTTATCTTCTGTCTCATATATATTGAGTCACATAATTGACTCAATTATGTGAAAAGCTCAAATATATCATTTTAAATTATTGAAACATTTAAATACCATATTTTGTAGGCCTTTTTAAGTGTTTGAAGATTACCTATCTATAAGAAGCACCTAATTAACATAAGTATGACAAACATGAATAATTATTAACATGCAATTCTTAATAACATATATAGCTTGAATTCTAAAGCTTCACATTATAAAAATAAACAATATTTGACCAAATTTTCAGCAAAAAAAACAGTGCCCTCAAAAGTGAAACTATATATAAGAATATCTTAATCATAGGTAGAACTGTATATAATACTCCTGCAGCTCTCATATACATCCCAGAAAATGATAGACATAGAAGACACTCCATATAGAGCTTGTTTTCTTCTTGACAAAACTGGCCTTTCAGACAATGAACTACCCTAGCCTTGACTTCTGACTGTAAGCATGTAGTCTAATCTGGACAAGCAGGACACAATGAAAAGTGAGTGCTGAATCTTACCAAGACAAGGTAGGATGGTCTTTTTAATTCTCCTGCTTCTGATAAATGGTCTGACAGATATTCTAGGCCTACCATCAGAGTTGGTTGCCCCAATGTTGCAGAGAGACTTAGGGTGACTTTCCAGTTGGTCAGATGTTTCTGTAATTTCTTGTATCTTTTAGAAATTGGTACTTGTACATCCTGCTTACTCGGGTATTATTCTTTTCCTTCTCAGGTATTGGAAGGCATTAAAGCCTAGATGGTCACAGTTACTATTCTCTCTTACCTTAGCTAAGCCATATCAGGCACAAGACTTACATTCTTCAGGATAGGACTGCTATTGGAATAATCTTTGTTATTTGTTAATTACCTATAGTGTGGACATTTAGTATGTGTTTCTTGCTTGATGCTGTTGGTTGTAGTTCTGTTTTTGTGTATTTTATTACCCTTTCTC